CAGGAATCCACATTGCTTTCCTCGCAGCAAGTCAAAGTGACCTCCTCGTCACTCGTAGAGCCTTCAGCAATGTTCACTTTCTTGTCATTCGGACATTGATTCCTAAAATGCCCCACCTCCTTGCATTTCCAGCACGTTACACCTGAGCTATCCCGAGTCTTGGACTGACTCCTTCGTCTGTTCGTGCTCCCACTACCTCTGCTATTCCTTCTGCCTCTACCAACATGAAGTAATTCACCAGATGACTCCCCTGAACTCTTTCTTCTGACATTCTCGCCAAGAACGAGATCTCGAATCTGATCAAAGGTGAATCCATCAGGCCCCACTGAACCGGTAACCGCTGTAACCGTTCCGGACCAACTATCAGGCAAAGACGATAGCAGTAGCAAAGCTTGAACTTCATCATCGAACTTAATGCCCACTGACGCAAGTCTGGCTAAGATTGAATTCAACTTGTTGATATACTCGGTAACTGAAGTGTCTTCTCTCATCCTTGTATTCACCAGCTCTCTAATCAGAAAAACTTTGTTAGCTGCAGATGGCTTCTCGTACATATTAGGCAGCGCTTCCATAATTCCCTTCGTTGTCTTCTCCTTCAGAATGTTGAACGCAACATTCTTGGTCAACGAGAGACGGATCACGGACATTGCTTTCCGATCCAAACCTGCCCAATCTGCATCCGACATCTTTTCTGGCTTGTCACCTAAAACCACGTCCAAATCTTTCTGAACCAGCAAATCTTCAATTTGCATCTTCCACCAACTGAAATCTGTACCATCGAACTTTTCAATTCGGAACTTCCCATCTTTTGCCATCTCAAACGACTAGACGAGATACCCGGTACAACTAATTTCAGGTCTTGGTATTTTTTTTTGTCAGAAAAACAGGTCCACCACTTCAATCAATCAAGCCCAAAACCAACCCACCAAAAAAATGCTACGGCCCAAAAAATCAATGGAGAAAGGCTGACCAGTGACCACTGCCTTCTCTCTTTTTTTCGTCCGGCCGGCCCTTTTTTTCTTTGTTTCGGCGACTGCTTCCGCGGAGCAAAACAGGGATGGCGATGGCACTGCGCTCTTCTCCGTCGTTCTGCTCTAGACGACGGCGGCGACTCGGCGAGCGATCAGATGACACCTGCTCGCAGACGGCGACTGACGGCTAGACGGAGGGCGGCAGCACCTCCACGCGGCGGCGGCTCCTTCTGCCGCTGCTCCTGTGTGCGGCGGTCTGTACGCAAACGGCGGCGGCGATCCTCGCGGCAACGGTGGAAAGACCCAGCGGCGACGATCTGATCTGACAGCGGCGGCGCGATCTGAAACGGCGTGGCTTCGCGGCGGCTCCTCAACCTGGCGGCGGCATTGCGGCTGGACTGCCTTCTGCACGGCCTCGCGATCTAAGAGGTCAACGGCGGCGCTAGAAGGGATGCAGCGGCGGCTCGCAAACGGTGGCGAACACCTGCGCAGATCTCCCCTTCTCGAACAGGCGGCACTACACTTCTCTTTCTCCACAATCCAACGATCCAGATCTGCAAACCCTAGGTGACAGCTCCTCGCTATTCGTGTTCTCGTGTTGAACAACCAAGGCTCTGATACCACTTGTTGGAAATTAAACACACAACACACACAAATATCTGCGAGAAACGAGAGAAAACGGAACACAAACGACACACAAGAATTTAACGTGGTTCGGTTTCCCTAATCCACGGCTGCAACAGGAGGAATTTCTTATTCACTTGTGGTGTCGATTACAAGTACAAGTATGCAATATATATAGGAAGAGCGCAATTAGGGTTACAACAAACGGGCCGGGCCAACAAGTCAAGCCCAAGCCTCCACAAACCCAACAGTTTTTTCATGACCTATATGATAAAATAAAATATTCTTGTCACAACTTGTTTTGGTGAACTTTTGATGTAGTTTTTAAATATGTATGTTTTATTTTTTATTTCTATACCCATATTTAAATATAATAGATTGAAAAAATTTGGGATTTTTCTTCGTTTTGCGCAACGGGAAGAAAGTTTTAGGAGGGAGGGAGTATATAAATTGGCCTATTGGTACTTAGGAAAATGCTAGAGTCACAAACATATAATTCACAAAATTCACAAACTTGCCTTTTGTGGATTTTAAAATGAAATATCTTTTATTATTTGAGTGCATCTTATTTCTAGGAAAGTGTTAAAAAGACAAGTTTGTGAATTTTGTGAACTGTTTGTTTGTGACTCTAGCATATTACTCTGGTACTTATTGGCAGTTCCGCAAAGGTAGAGTTCACAAATTCATCAATTAATTAATTAAGATCCTACATCTAAGCAAGAGCTCTAACTAGCTTGACCCACCATTAATTATTACACGTATCACACACATATATATGTGTGTGTGCATAGTTAATCAATCCCCTGATTAATTACGTACTTAAGAGAAATAATTAATTAAGAATCATTTGAACATAATTACTGATCAGAGTCTGGTTAAAATCGAAATTAATCGAGACGAGGTGAAGATGGAGAGGTGTGAAATGTTCTTGGAGATATTGGTTGCCATATTGCTTCCTCCTTTGGGAGTTTTCTTTAGACACGGCTGTTGCAGCGTACGTATCTATAATTTGTCTGATGATTGAATATCGATCGATGATGATCATTAATTATAAATATATCTTAGCTTAATTAATTATAGTATATTGTTTGTTAATGATGTTTTGGTTGGTTGGTTGCAGTGTGAATTGTTGATATGCTTGATACTAACCTTATTAGGTTATGTTCCGGGAATAGTGTATGCGATCTACGCTATTGTTGTTCGCCATGGCGGCGGCCATGAACAAGATGATGATGGTGATCATCATCAATGGCGTCGTCCTCTCAATGCTTAGCTTAATTCCCATATTTATTAGTATTTTATTCCATTTTCTTTCTTATGAAAGAGAACACTATTCTCCTTTAATTTGTACGTTGATACTCCCTCCGTCCCAAAAAGTTTGTTACGTTTAGAAAAAATTGCGTTCCGTAAAGTCCGTTACATTTCTATTAAGAAACCACTTTTACCCCTTACTTTTTCATACCCTACCTATCATATCATACCTTTTTCCTAATAATCTACCCATCGCATCCTACTTTTACCCATCGCATCAAGGGTATTTTTGGAAAATCAATACCAAAATATTCATCCCTTAATTTCTCAAGAAGTCAAACCGTCTCATTCTTTTTGGGACGGAGGGAGTACTATATGTCTATATTGAGTTGGTAAATAAATGTTACTCATGTTTTGAGTCATGCAATGCTTTTACTTTTTACTGAAAAAACAATTAATATCTCGAGTAAATAAATCAGCTCTGGTTAAAATTAGATTTTCATTTACCAATTTCTGGAAACTGCAAATTGAATTATAAAATCAATAAAAGATACGGATCGGAGCTGATCGAGTAGGATCCCACTCAGAATAAGTAGTTGATTTTTCTTTACAAATAACATCTTGAAACAATTTTTTTTAACCACAGATAAAAATTACAGAGTATAACTTAAATTTTACTTGTATTTTTTAAAGAAAAACCATAAAGGGTACGGTGTAAATTTTTTTGAAAAGCCAAAACAACAATAAACTATGAGTTTAATTTGGAGATCGATGAATAGAAAATATAAGATGACTAATTCAATAGATCTCATTTGTCAACAAAATATAAGTCCTACTCTTTTGGTATCAATTGAGAAAGAAATTTTTGAATGTCTTTCAAAAAATAAAATACTCATTTTCTAATAACCAATTACTTGCTTCGGGTATTTTTTAGTAACCGGATGAATACTCATTTTTCAGTTAACCGAAAATAGGTATTTAATTGACTTTAAAATCAGTATTCAATTACTCATATATAAACACACATCATAGATTTACGAAAAACACCGTATAATCGATTGTACAATATATATTGCGACGTCATTGGTGTCTGATTGGATTACTCGAAATAGTCTTGGAAACCCGCGGGCAACCATAAAGAATAAATTGAAAACTTAGTTCTAAACAAGATGGGAGGCCGGAAGTATTATCAATTCCCCCGACTAAACCGTATAACCGTCTGATCGACTATCAAACGAACTCCTGCCATGCATCCTCTTCTTCTTATGTAATGGTGGGATTGTTATTTTGACCTCTCGATGTCGGTAAAATTGCATTGTTTATTGTTGTGTTTTTGTATGAGTTTTCTCACTTTTGAGTGAAGATTATTGTTTTTTGGTGTTCCAAGTTCTTACTTGATGTTTGTGTGACCTCTAACTGATTTAGAGAGGACCCGGTTGTACCCACTGGTTTTCCTTGGTGATTAGTGGAAGGCTTCATGGTTTGATAGACATATATGGAAAGAAGTCTAGTTATAGAAGAATTGTTATTTATGTTAGTTTACATATTTGGTAAATCCTAGTCCATGTAGGGATCCTCACCTATATAAACATCCATGTACACAATTATTCATTAAGAGTGAATTCATAAAATCATCATGGTATCAGAGCACGGAGATCCGTGTCTCCTGGCCCCTCTCATTCGCTGCGTTAACCACGAAAGAAAAAAAAATTCGGCTCAGCCGATCTTCCTCTCGATCGCGACAGCCCTTGCCGTGATCGGCCATGGCCCCTTTATCTCCTGATCCTATGGATCGTCTTCCTACGGGTCTTATGTTGTTTGTCCGGAATCTTCAATCCCTAACTCCAATCAAGCTTGATGATACCAATTATCCCTCTTGGTCTGCTACCGTTCGTGCAAATCTCCTTGCTCATCGTCTCCTCAGTTATGTTGATGGATCTGAAACTCCTCCACCGGCTCTTATTCTCGATGAGAAGGCTGCGGCGCCGGGCAAAGATGAACCCCCGATCATGAAGCCAAATCCGGCCTATGAATCATGGCTTATTGTTGACGCTCAGATTCGGGCCTGTCTCCTTGCGATTGTTTCACCCCCTGTTCCCACTTCTGCTGCAATCTGGAATCATCTCGAACAACGGTACAATTCTCTTTCACGCACCCATATTTTTCAACTGAAGGAGCGCTTACATGGTGTTACTAAGGGTACTGATTCGATGCAAACCTATTTGGACACTGTTCTCACCATTGTGTCGTCTCTCAAATTGAATCATGAAAATATCTCTGAACAAGATATTATCTTGTGTGTTCTTCGTAGTCTACCGGCCGACTACGCCTCCCTGAAGCAAAATATTCGCACCAATATTGCCACAGTCACTTTTAATCAGGTCTCTTCCTGGCTTCTCTCTGAAGAATTGAACTTATCTTTTGAGAAGAAATTATCTCTGGGTGACTCTGGCTCTACCTCGTGTGTCAACATCCATAATGCTCTTTTCACTAATTCCGGACGAGGCACTCGACGAGGACGTGGTCGTGGGCTGCCACGAGGCCGAGGAGGGCCGTACCGCGGCGGTAACCTAGGCGGCAGGGGAGGCCGGCAGCCGCTGTACCGCGATGGTGTGCGCGGCAGAGGTGGCGAACAAGGGGTGTCCGTCACATGTCTATTTTGTGGGAAGCTCGGTCATGCGGTCTGGAATTGTTGGCACCGCTACGACGAATCCTATACTGGTCCTCCGCAGGCGTTTTATGCAAACCAATCTACTCAATCTAGTTCGAACTGGCATTTGGACACTGGAGCAAACACCCATGTCACGCCTGATTTGTCTCGGCTACATACTATGACGTCGTATCATGACACCAATTCCATCACAACTGCAGGAGGTAACACCTACCCTATTGACCATACAGGTTCAGGTATACTCACCACCCCTCTCCACACTTTTACCTTAACCAACCTTCTCCATTCCTCTCACATTAATTCCCATCTCCTTTCAGTCCATCAATTTACTAAAGATAATAATTGTTCTCTTCTTTTTACCTCTAAGGATTTTACAATTCGGGACAATCTCACCAACCAAGTTCTTTTCAAGGGCCCTTGTGAGCGTGGTCTGTACTCCATACCGGCATCTCCCTCTTCTCTGGTGGTCAACTCTGTCAAAGTCACTCCTTATCAATGGCACTGCCGTCTTGGTCATCCCTCAGCTCAAGTCACTAAGTCTTTATTGTCTCAATTAGGTTTTAAATTTCAGCATCTTGGTCATTGTAATTCTTGTTCTCTTGCCAAGTCTCATAAACTCCCCTTCCCTATGTCTGACACTAAAACTTCTGCCCCGTTTGAACTTATTCACTCTGATGTATGGGGACCTACTTCTGTACCCTACTTTGGAGGCTATCACTTTTATATTAATTTCATTGATGATTATACACAGTTTTGCTGGTTGTACCCTCTTAAAAATAAATCGGATGCATTTGATGCTTTTCTCAGTTTCCAATCTATGGTTCGTACTCAGTTCAATGCACACCTTAAACTATTTCGAACAGATAATGGGAGGGAATATGTCAATAAAAAGTTTGGGCTGTTTTTACAAAACTTTGGGATCTCCATCAAAAATCTTATCCCTACACTCTTGAACAAAATGGTGTCGCTGAAAGAAAGCACTGTCACTTGATTGAAACTCTTGTCACACTTCTTTGCACAGCCAATCTCCCAACAAAATTTTGGGTTGAGGCGTTGGCTACTGCAAATTTCCTGATCAACCGCATGCCAAAAAGGTCTCTTAATCACAAATCCCCTTATGAGTCTCTATTTCAAAAACCTCCAGACTACAATCTGCTCCGGGTGTTTGGGTGTTTAGCTTATCCGTGTCTACGTCATGAAATCACAAATAAATTCCAACCACGGTCAAAACCATGTGTCTTCCTTGGTACGATTCCTCGTCTAAAGGGTATCGCTGTTTTGATCTCACCACGGGTCGTATATACATCTCTCGCCATGTTCAATTTCAAGAGAGTCAGTTTCCAGACTCCACCGTCTTTACACACACAGGGTCTTCTGTCACATCTCCATCATTCCTTGGTGTCCTTCCCATTTTTCCGGATGAGTCGCCGTGTACTCCGATCCATGCNGACGGCGACTGACGGCTAGACGGAGGGCGGCAGCACCTCCACGCGGCGGCGGCTCCTTCTGCCGCTGCTCCTGTGTGCGGCGGTCTGTACGCAAACGGCGGCGGCGATCCTCGCGGCGACGGTGGAAAGACCCAGCGGCGACGATCTGATCTGACAGCGGCGGCGCGATCTGAAACGGCGTGGCTTCGCGGCGGCTCCTCAACCTGGCGGCGGCTCTGCGGCTGGACTGCCTTCTGCACGGCCTCGCGATCTAAGAGGTCAACGGCGGCGCTAGAAGGGATGCAGCGGCGGCTCGCAAACGGTGGCGAACACCTGCGCAGATCTCCCCTTCTCGAACAGGCGGCAAACCCTAGGTGACAGCTCCTCGCTATTCGTGTTCTCGTGTTGAACAACAAGGCTCTGATACCACTTGTTGGAAATTAAACACACAACACACACAAATATCTGCGAGAAACGAGAGAAAACGGAACACAAACGACACACAAGAATTTAACGTGGTTCGGTTTCCCTAATCCACGGCTGCAACAGGAGGAATTTCTTATTCACTTGTGGTGTCGATTACAAGTACAAGTATGCAATATATATAGGAAGAGCGCAACTAGGGTTACAACAAACGGGCCGGGCCAACAAGTTAAGCCCAAGCCTCCACAAACCCAACAGCTAGGGCCCACTTCGGATCTCAATGGAGCATCATAGAGCCCCGGTATCATATTATGCACCCAAACCAGTCTCAAAAGAGCCATGGGGTTATTCTATACGGAGTAGTATAAACAACAACACTAAAAACTAACCCCATATAATCTCAACTTCAATAGGGTCAAAGGGCTCACGATGTACATAATCTTACCCCTCTAGAAAATAAAGAGGCTGCTTTCATTGGACTGGGAAATCAATACATGTAAAAAATTGAAAGGAAAAAAAAAGAATTCATATTCTATTTTCTTAGCATTTCCCATGCAAAGACATACATAGAAAGATAACCTTTTTTTGCCATATTTTCCATTCCAAGCAGTTTTCATGATCCAAACATACCTTTAGTTCCATTAATAGAACACAATAATAACTAAAATATCAATGCAAATATTTGTGATAAATAAAGAAAAACTTTTTACTGGTTGAAAAAAAACTTTTTACCTTGGGGACAATGCCATTGACTGCAGGGGGAAGATACAATGGTTCCGTTTGCCATCGTCCATAGAGTGCAGTAATTCCACCTGAATCACCTTCACCACTCTCATCATCATCCACAACTACTGCTTTTCTTTGCTTTTGAGAATGCTTTAGAACCTTAAAAGGCATCAATATAAAAGTTGAATGAGGGGTAAGAATTTGCTCCGGGAGGGAAAATGGAAGTAAAAAATTCATGACATGGTAAAACCTTAGCTGGGACTTCATTAGCTTTCACTTGCAAGCCCTCCCGCAACCACCTTTGCTTTGTATTGAGCGTTTGGACACAAGTCCGTGGGTATACAGGATGACCTGAACAAAAACCCAAGACGGGTCCCTTCGGGTGAAGCATTTGATACTTGTTAAGCCATTTTTCAATAGCATATATATGATGGGTCCTGTAAGCCTGCATACAACAAAGGACACATAGTTAGTACTGTTAAGATCCCACACACTCACTCACTAACCAAGATAAAGAAAATCAAAATTGGAAGAACACTCCCTTGCATCCTTTTACAGTACCTGCTGATTTGTAGGGAGTGGTTCAGTTAATGCCTTAGTTTCTAACTCCATATCTTCTAGATCACTCCTTGATGCACCGATAATAGAGGAAGCCACTGAAGCTGACTGCGAGGATCTCCTCTCATCACCACATTCTTTGAATGCCTCTGAATGACAGACTCCTTTCACTGCCTCTATAGTCTCATTTCCACTTGCTCCTCCTGCCTCCAACTTCTTCAACGGTTCCAATACTGCATCCCACCACAGAGAGTTGACTCTTTTGGACACTATTGTGTGCCATTTCGTGCAATATCTACAACAAAACAACAAACTCAATAACACCCACAAAACGTAAGATCCGGGGAGGGTGTGTGCACGCAGACCTTACCCCAACACAAACATTTCTTCCAATAAACAATATCTAGAAAGTAGAGAGAGAGAGAGAGAGAGAGAAACATGTTTAGTATCACAAAAAGAGTCAAATTTGAAAAGTGATCTTGTCACAAAAAAAGTCTTAATTGAACAAAAGAAGCTAATTCTCGTTATGCTTGATGCAGTTTTTTAAAATCTCAAACAAGTTAACCAACACATAAATATCTAAAAATAGTTCAAACAAAAATTCACAATTTCCAGGATGTTCAATGGTATACTTTGACCAAATTACTAGAATTGAGATATAAATAAGCATCTACCATGGGTTCATCAAATGAGAGGAATTTAAAAAATAATAAGTTTTTCACTAAGATAAAAGTTTTGGTATACACATACATGTCAAATAATACTCCCTCTGTCCCAAATTAATAGTCCTCATTTCTTTTTTGGGCCATCCCAAAAAAGTCTTCTTTCCACTCTCGTATTTTTTTTCCCTCTACATCACTTGCAACCACACGATTTCACTTTTCTTAAAATCCATGCCAAACCAAAAGTGGACCACAGAGGGAGTATGATTTTTGAAATATTTTTAAATTTTCAGAATTTAAGTTTTGAAATTAATTTCCGGTTTTTTGAAATATAAAATGATATATTTATGAAATAAATTTCCAGAATAATAAAATGTTGAGAATAATTATCTGAATTTATTTATTGAATTTTGAAATGTATGTGTGTAATCCATTTCATAGTCCCACAAAAGTATGATTTGGGGGAGGGTGTGTGTACGAAGACCTTACCCTACTATGAAGTAGAGAGGCGGCTTCTAAGAGACCCTCAGTATAAATAGTAACAAAATGAAAAAAAGAAGCTCAAAGCAGCAAAGGTTTTGGAACCTGCGGGTCACATCTTTAGCTCCATTTCCCGCAAAAGCAACAACATATCTTAAAGGAACTTTACATGCAGCAGCAGAAGCTTCAACATTTTGCTCACCATCAATAATTGCATTCACAGGATCTACATGTACCCATTTTCCAGTCAAGTTCTCACTGCTGCAATAGACTTCTGCCCAGTACAACGGGGCTCCCACCTTTTTTGATCCAATTGCAGTAGAAATTCCATGTGAACCTTCTGCTATGATTTTCTTCATTGTTTTGTGAGGTGAAAGATTTGATGATGAAGTGTTTTGTGCATCTACCACATTTGGGACAAAAGTTTCCTTAGACCTTTCAACTGCTGTTGCAGAAAGCGCCATTTCCAACTGTAACTCAAATTCAAGATCACCTTTTCTCTTTGATTTTCCCCTATGTGTAGGACATGTTTCACTGATATCATTCTGAACCTCCAACTCTGACTTATCCAACATTCTATGCTTCGAAGTATCGGTACGAGATGAATCACTGGATTTAGATGTTTTTCCCAATGACTTCCTACCCTTAGGTTTGTTTCCATCAGTTGGGGTCTGTTTGGAACTTGGGAACTACTAGGAAAAAATAGGAAGAAGAATGTCATGTTAGAGAGGCTAAAAAGCAATTTATTTAGTTTTGGCATGTATTGATACTTCCGAGTAGGGGTAAGATCTGTGTGGACACACCCACCCTCCTCAGACCCTACTTTTTGTGGATTTTAAGGAGTTTGGTTTTGTTGTTGTAGATACGTATAGAATATAGATGCCTATTTTTTTTACTAATGATTATTAAAAATGAGGAAGGAATATAAATGTGTAAACTATTTAAAGAATCATCATATTTTGTTTTCCTCTAAATTTTTCATGGTAAAATCAAACATAAGAGAATAATTTTCCATATTGTTAGTTTTTCCTTTCCCAAGCATTTTCCATAAAATAGACATACCCTTGACGAAGTTCCGCAAGCACTACCATTGTCACTAGATGCCAGATGTCTTGAAGGAGATTCAGGAGCATGACTTGATCCAGCAACCATCAATGTTGAGGCTTTAAAGATATCATTGTCTGCCCTTCTAGACAAATCAGGTTCATCCATGCCAGGCTTCAGGTGGGCCACGTCCAACATGCATACAAACCTATGAACATATGTATTGGATTTATAACTTGTAAGTGAACAATTTATCATTTTATTTACTCATGTACAAAAGCACTACCCCGAGGTCTCCTGGAAACAGGTCAAACAACGTCTCTACTTCCGAGTAAGGGAACGAACACCCCCCCAAACCCTACTTATTGTGGGCTCTTACTAGGTTTCTTGTTGTTGTTGTTGTACAAAAACACTACCAAGTTTATACTTGATACGCCCCATCCTACAAAGATGAGCTTGTATTCAATATGATCTGTTCCATAAAGATAGACCAGTTCATATAATGGACATGCATTTAACTTTCCATTTCCAATGAACGAGTTAAAATGTGAAGTAAGCCTTCAAATGAGTTTTCCACTCATTCATGTCAACAATGCTCATGGCTCATCTCTAGGATATTTTTTAGACAATTCATCATAATTTCTTGAATGAATATGGAAAGTGGAAAGGTAATTCTGGACAAACAAAAACAAGAAAGGGGACAACTAATTCCGTATGGAGGGAGTTATAATCAAATGTACCTAGCTGTAATATTTAGAGCCCTGATCAGTGCCACAAACAAAGCAGTAACCTGCAAAAAGTTACATTTCAGTGAGATCTTCCCGCCAACAAGTATATCCGTTGCATCAATCTCTTTTCAACCCGTTATGGAAACAACTTATGCTCTAAGTCATTGACAACCAGTGAGTAAATTGCTAAAGTTCATCAATGAAAAAGTAATTAACACAATAATACCCTCAAATTACTTGGATTCTGAAGAACCATGCATTGTAAATTTGTAATGGAAAACAAAGCATATCCATAAATCAATTATTCATTTTGAATATATTTATCCATGGTAAATGCCACAAACGAAACAATAGAATGTTTACTTGTGTCTGAATATATTTTCACCTAAAAAATCTAAAAGAAAATATTGATTTTAAGTATTGAACAAATCATGCACAACAGATATTTTTTTGGCAAATATCCAGGATAATAAATTGTACTACCAGTAATCACGAGTAACTTTGGATCATATAAACACTAGCTTCTTAAGGTTGCACTTCTAACATCAAGAATGCTTAACCCAAAAATCCATCCAAAAGCTCGTGCTTTACATGTTAAGAATGTATACCACTTCAGGGCTCCCTTCCTGAGATGCAAGAGTAGATCTCATGGCTAAATGTATTGATTCCTTAGTGGCACTTGAACTTCTAATGCGAAAATGTTTGTGGAACTGCATTTATTGGAATAAAAATAAGATTTTTTTATTCTGTTTTTAAAAGATTAGAGAATTAAAATCATTAAAATGCATACCCAATTAACGATAGAGAATAGAGACTTTGCAGTATGGTTCGTTGAATCTGATATCTTCAACACGTGAGTGGGGAGAAGTGAAAGTAAAGAAGCCTGCAATAATATTAACCCTTTAGAGTGTGTAGTAATTGGATCACCTGCTTGTAGCTTAAGAACAAAAACTAAAGATAGCTTCGTAAGAGCAAAAGAATACATCAAAAGCTTATGCAACCATAGGAAATCTTAGAGTCATTGTAAAGGCATGCAAAAATTCCACAAATAGTTTTATTAAAAGCCTAATCATAAAACAATTCATTCATGTATGGTATGTCGCAATTTTGGCCAATTCTTTATAAATTGTCAATTAATACACAATTTTGGCTAATAACACTTCACTGTGTTTACAGGATTGTGGCTAGATTTTCTTTTTGAAGATTCTACCGAAACCGTAACAATGATAATGTACTGGACGTTTTTTACCATTGGGCCGTTAACCAAATGGTTTACTCAGAAAGGTAAATACTATGCAATGGCATAAAGAAAGGTCAAACTCTGATAATGCAGATTGTAAGCAGTAAAGCTAAAAACCTGAATGAGAGGATCATTGCAAGCACAATCAATCAACCTCCCCCTCCCAAGCAAACAAAGCAAATGAACCTTATGTATGAGCTCAGCCAAATCCTGACATTGACCATATTAAAGTTACAAATACTCGAACGACACCAAGTGAGTGACTGGGTGTTAAGAGAAAATAGTATTTTAAATTGAAATACAATCAACCTTTTCTTCAGCAGTGGCACGACGCGCAGTCTTGCGATGCTTGGAAGCATCTTCAGGAACTTCAAACTCGACCCTTACTCCATTATTTTCTGAATTTAAATTAGGAATTGACCCATCTTCCCAATCCAGATCATCGTCATCTTCAATCTCAGGATTCAAATGATGAGTATTTCTTCCTCCAGCTTCCATTTTTTGTGGAGTGTCTTGCCCTATGCTCATTCCATCAGAAGTAGCATCAAATGCAGTTCTTGTTGTTTGTTTCTCCTTACATGGTGATTCACTCGAGTTCTAAGAATTAAATTATTATGCATAATTGAGGGGAAAAATAAAACATTCCATGATGATAGAATACACACCCTGCTAGGCAAACGTCTCCACATATAGGTTGCATATAAACATACCTACCTTTCCTGTAGAATCACATTGACGCAGGTAAGTATCATCAGCATTTGAGAATCGAGAACCTCCACGTGACTTTGCTTTCTTGATAAGCTTCTCCAATGAATCTCGTGATATGTTTTCTAGAGTCTCTGGAAGCATCAAACATACGAGCTTGAGTCTTGATAACAATACTAAATTTGAAAGAACTAGAGAAAAATTATCTTTAAAAACACAAAGAAAAGGGGGAACAGCAAAACAAACCATTCTCTTCAACTAAAAGCCTGCTTTGTCGTTCTGAATCAATATGAGAGCTGCTACCCACCACTCCTTCGGCTGCCACAAAAGGAAGGGAAAGAAATGGAACACATCAATACCGGCCAAATCAAATAACAATAACAATCAAACACATTGCCAAGAGTTTCAAGTTTGCATCTTTTGTTCAAACAACACATTCCATACTTTGTTGAGCATGAAAACGGCAAATATAAGAACTTAAATATGGTAATCATCAAGTGAAATATACGTGTAGCTTCATATGGAGGAATTCCTAAGCCCTAATTGCATAACCAACACACATTACTTCTAGCTAGAAAGAAAATGGATTTTCTTTTTCAAAATAAAAAAAATGCAGAAACATTGCCAGTTCTTCAAGCGAGATAATGAATTCTCAGTGTGTTTGTGGGTGTGAAACGTGCCAGGGGATTGTTTGCGACGCTTGGAGTTGCTTCGGGTTCTCATCATGTCCGGTGAATTATAAACCGACTCGACTCCTCTTCAGTGAAGTGATGAGGCGGCGCAGGGCGTCTGAACGCATGGAACCGGACTGATTCACCGCCGACCCGCGAGTTCCAACTGCCCTTTTTTTCTTAACCTCTTTACTCCCTAGACCCTAATTAACAGTTTTACAGTACCTCACTACTTGATGGAAACTTGAATAAACAACTTCTACCCCAAAAATTTACTATATTTTTATATATATATTCTTACCTTCCTCATTTTTTGTTTTTTTTCTCCTTTTTTCCTTAATTTGTTTCTTTTATCATTCATGATTGTTAAAATTGTTTTTATGATATTTTTAAAATTTAAAAAGAATTTTTAAAAAATTTTTTTGACATATGTTGCATTTGTACGTCTCAAATTAACAATTTTATTTTTGTTTTTTGAAATAAAAAAGTTAATTTTTTTCCTAAAACTTCAAAAAAGGAGGAACAAAAATGAGGTATAAGACTCTTTTTTGCATGTTCCAAATTGTCAATTTTGTTCATTTCATTTTTCTATATTATATATATATTTTTTTGATTTTCTTTTTTATTCTTGATTTTCTTTTTGAACTTACCAAAAAAGACATTTTAAAAAACAAAAAGTGAAACTTTTTAATTTGAGATAGATAGAGTATATGTTATATTTTTTTATTTTTATTTTTGTTAAACATGAGAATTTTGAAATTCTTAAAACATTATAAAAAAATTGAAAGAAATTTAAAAACTATTCCAGGAAAAGAAAACAAAGAGATAAAAAAGATTTTAAAAAGGGGGAAAAAATAAAATAGTAAACGAAAAAAAGAAATGAACACATGTGATTCTATGGTTTAAAAAACATACACCAATGCTTCATCTTCGTCAGAAAATAATCAGAGGGGGCGTGAGTCAATATTTTAAAACCACGAAAACTTTAAAAATAAATTTTGAAAATAGAAGAAATATTGATGCTAATGTTCAATCTACATGGGGGATGTAGGCATGTAGCTATGTGGCCCGTTTAACAAATGTATTTTGTATTCTCTAGTTGTTGACAAAACCTAATTGTAAATTAACCTCTTTTTTTAAAAAAAAATGTACTCTCTGTGTTTTTTTAAATACTCTCTTTTTCATTTTTTTTGTTTTCTTCCAAAATATTTTCACCCGTCTATTAAAAATCACTTTTACTTCTATTTTTTTATCCCACCAATCATAGCATAATTTTTCAATAATAATCAATGTATTATATCTTATTTTTATACATCACATTAATGGTAAAATTAGAAAATCAACCACATATACACTCCTTATTTCTCATAAAAGTCAAAATAACGTTTTCTTTGAAAAGTAAATAAATTAAAGTTGAACCAAAGAAATAGGAATTGAAAATCCTAAAAGAAAAAAAAATTACATGATTAATTAATTAATTTTAGTTTTTAGTAGGAACAGTTCAAAACGAACCCCTTGCTCCCTTTCTTCCACTTTCTTTTTCCACCTTCTCAAGAGCCCTAGTTCTGAAATCGCGCCATATTGCGCACAGACGGAGTATATGAGTCGCCTCAAATCCTCTGTTCATTCCCCAGACCGTTTCGTCTTCGTTTACAAATTCAGGTAATCTTCGCTCGTCATAGCTTGCGATTTGCTCTGATAATTTTTCTGTTTTCTTTTTGTTCGTTGTTGTTCTTTGGGAAACCTGTCGATGCATCAGTGTTTAACTTTGTTTCGAGTGTTTTTCCATATGAATTAATGTATTACGCTTTTAATTTAGTGATCCGAGCGTGCTACTGGCATGAAGTCTCGGTATGTATCACTTTTTTAGCTTCCTGGCATGCCAGAATGCTTCTTTTTTTAGCTGTTGTTGGTGTCAACTATGTATATGATAGTAATTGTCTTGTTTGTTTTCCAATGCTGGGAAATATGTAATTTTGGTGTTCGTTATGGTTACAAATTTATAGGAAGAAGCTATCGTTATACAATCCACTGTCATCTTTTCTTTTGCTTGAATTGGTTTCTATCCTTTCCAGATTTGGTTAAATTTTGTCCGGGATTGAGTCGCTTGCCTGATAGTCTCTGTGAGTATGGCAAGAGGTAGAGGACAAGGCAGGCCACAGCGTGGAGGAGGGTCATTTAGAGGTAGAAGAACTGCGGGAGCTCCTCACAGCGGAGGGGCACTTGGTGCCAGACCGTCATCTCACATCATTGCCAAGGCAAGCTCAATATAAATGGATATAATTCAAATGTCCTTTACTCCTTTTTTGCTCAAACAATCCCATCACTAGTTTTTTGTGCCACTGTTGAGTCAAAGACCACTCCCTATTCAGCTAAGCACCAACACATAGAGTGTGGTTCAATTGTTTGGCAATCTTGAGGACTATCTCTGTGGCTTTTTTGTGATAGAAACTTCAAATAATCTTGTTTTCAAAAAGTAAGGGGTTTTTGCTACTATTGAGGTATCTCTATTTGTTACATAGTGTCTTAATATCGAGGAACTTCATTGCTTGAAATTTTAAAATCTATCCAGATGGATGAACTTTAAGAGCAATCACCAGTCCTTCGTAGCAATTAGCAAGGCACTTCCATAACTACCTTAGAAGGGCATTTGCGGCAGATCTTATTGCTGCACTTGGGAGTTCTCTTTGACTGAGTTATATGTTTCATTCCAATTCATGGCCTTTTGCAAAAGCTTAGGCGGCTTAGCAGTTATTGATACAGCGGGTCAATGATTTTTCATCCCTATCTACACTTATTTCCTTACTTTCGTGGTTTCCAACTGAGATGTTGTTGTTGTTGTTATCTACACTTATTTCCCGCTGCTGATTTTCTTTTGGAAGTATAACTAATACTACTTCCCTCCCCAAAAAGAGATGTTTCATAAAAGTAAACTTTTTAGTACGAGTAAATGGTACACTGATCGGAGATTATAAAAATTTGCTTTTAGCTAAATTTAACAGACTTACATTGTTTTGGTAAGCACTCTTTTTCAAAATTATTTTTAATATAATAAAATTAGTTTATTGTGCTCAAGTATGCGTCTTTCTGGGGACAAGTTTAGCTTTCAAAATAAGACCCTTTTGAGACACTTGAGTCAAATTTTATGGTGCAACACTGTAACTTGATAAACCTTTTTATGCCATGGAATTTTGATGGCATCTGATATTCTTTCCCCCCTCGGTGAATTGTTCATTTGAAAGTATGCTGACTCCACTTTCCCAATATGGTCTCCATTTTGGGAATGTTTGCTTTAGTCTTTCAACAGAACAAATACTTTACCATGGCAGAAGAGTTTGACAGAAGGTGGCCTTAGGGCTGCAGCATTATCATCAGGGTTAGATATTGGGTCAAAGTTATTTGTGTCAAATTTGGACGTTCAGGTTTCTAATGATGATATAAGGGTACCCCACGAGATCTGTCTTTTCAAACTTATACATTGCAATAGCTACGTTTAGAGTGGGTTTGACATAGTGAGATTTAAAATGCAGGAACTCTTTTCCGAGATGGGAGAACTAATAAGATATGCAATCCACTTTGACAAGTATGGACGCACAAGTGTAAGTTCTATGTTTTATCATATTGTTTTGTTGGTGCTTAACAACACAATTTTATCGAAAGTACTTTTTTTGGATCTGTATTTTTGAACATTATTTTTTGGCCAAGAAGCCTTTAATGCAAAACATTGTATTTGTTTGTGAGTCGGTATCTTTTGTTTGCTTTGAGTCTTGCACCTTGTTTCATACCACATCTTTAATGTCGCGAGGATGAGTTGAATATGATTCTTTTAGGTTCTTTTAAGTGGTTCCCTGAGAAAGTGCAGAAGTATAGTTTGCTTTAGTTGACATATTATTATTGCGTAAAGTTACATATGGTTTTCCATATAAAATATATCTTGATTTTTTTACTTTCCCATCTGCACAGAAAGGTTTATGGTTTCCATGTAGCTTTGAATGGTTTGATAAAAGAAAGAAGATACAATGCTTGCCTTAGTTTTAGGATTGCTAACGTTGTTGGGATTATACCACTTGTTAGGATATTGTTATAGTTCTGCTTTATATAAAATGTTAAAACTACTACTTTTTATTAATATGGATTTTAAGTTTTAACAAGCAACTTCATAATAATTTTGCAAGACTATTACAATGCTTACACAGGGAAATGATTTGCCCAAAACCAAATAGAAACAGGAAATCTAAATCCTAGACCTATTGGGAATGGAAAATTATAAAACTGCTAATAGTCTAGGACTAGGATCACTCTATTTCCATAAATTCATCCTGCAATTCTTGCAGAATACTGTGTTTGCTGTTTCCTCTCTATCGCCATAGATACTGGTGTCGACTTGTATGTGTTATTGGCTTTGGGTTTTCTAGTTAGGTTGTTATTTTAGTTTCGGATGCGATGAAGCTTCATTTTTTCTATTATATTACAGGGTTCAGCTGAGGTGGTTTTTGCTAGACGGAATGATGCACTGAAAGCATTGAAGAAATACAACAATGTAATGTTGGACGGGAGGCCTATGAAGATTGAATTTGTTGGAAACAAATCGGAATTTCCGCTATCAGCTCATTTGAATGTTGCTGGAAATGCAAATGGGAGCAAAAGTGTCATGAAGTATGTTTTAATAAATTGATAAATCTTTTTTTTTTGCTTCATCATTCTTTTGTTTTCATAATCATCATGCATTCTTCCTCTAGTGGCAAATTTTAGACGAGGCAGTGGATTATTAATGTTGACATAGTTGTAAGTGGCGATAATAGTTGACTATTTTTAAAGTGTGTATTACTGATGCCCAATGCCATAAAGTACAAATTATTGTACTCGAAAATTCCTCTATTTTCAATTAGGGGTAAGGTTTGCGTACAAACCCACCAGACTATTGTAATGGCTTTGTTGTTGTTGTTCCATTATACTGTGTAAAAAGTCTTATATGAATTATGAAATGAAAGAAAAATGACACTCTTACCATGATTTTAATACTTTGGGTATATTTTTTTCTTAATTTCTTTAAACAATATTTTAAGATAAAGCCCATTCAGCCAATTCAATATTTTTTTTAGCTAAATTGTTAGCCTGATCTAACAGGTTTGATCTTATTCACTTTTTTTAGTGCCCCATCTCATGTTTGTTATTTTCCAAGATTTCTTTATGTGTACACTGTAATTATTTGTGTTTATGCATTCAGGCAATCCCGTCGGCCTACTTGGGCTAGAGGTGGTG